CCCTCCCCGCTGGCCCGGGCCGCGGGCGCCGTCCTGCCCCCGGGAGCAGGCCCCTCCCTGGGCGCCGGGCCCCGCCAGGCGTGCCCAGCCCGGCGCGCCCCCTGCGTCCCGGTGGCAGGTCCGCTTGGGGAGGGAGGGGGTGACCCCGGCCCGCTTGGGGGCGCCGCGGCCGCTACCTAGCAATCGCGGCCGCCGCCTCCAGGAAGCCGCGGGGTGGTCGCGGGTGCGGGAACTCTCCGGTCTGGCCTCGCTGCCGGCCGCCTGAAGGGGGTGCGCAGCGGTGGGAGCCGCCGTCGCCGCTGTCACGGAGCCGCTGTCGCTGCCGCCGCTGCTGGCTGTGCGTGAGCGTGTGTGCGCCTGTGTCCGGGCGAGTGTGTGTCTGCGTGCGGCGCCCGGCCTTTACTATATACACCAAGGGGTGGGAGGAGGCGGGGAAGGGGAGGGCTTGGGGGAGGCGGCGGAGGAGGGGGAGCGGGAGGGGGGCGAAAGGGTACCCGAGGAGGCGGCGGCGGAGGAGGGACAGGTGATCTCGCCCACGGGGAGGGCGTGGCTGTAGGCGGCGCGGGTGGCAGGAGGAAGGGGCGCTAGGGGCGGGGGTCGGGGGAGCGCCAGGGAGGGCCCGAAGAGCTGGGATCCTACTGCCTCCCGGAGGGCTGGGGACCATTCCAGACCCCAGGATGAAGAGGAGGAAGGAACGGAGCCCAGGAGGGAGGAAGCGGCTGGCCGATGGGTGAGGGGTGAGGTGGGAAGGGCTCAGCGATCACCCTAAAATGCCAATTGTGATACAGGTAGAAGACCCTTCTCACAAGGTGGGAGATCGGTAAAGACAAAATTAGTCCACGGACATTATCTCATTTCCATCCAAGAGGTGATTCATGTATTAATCTAATCTTTATTAAGCACCTAGTGTTTGCCAGACACTGGGCTAAGAACCGGAGTTACAGGCATGATGAGCATTATGGTTGCTGACCAATAAATAAATAATAGACATCAGTAGTACTATTGAGCATTTTAAAATTTAAAAAAGAAAACTAAGTCCTTAAAATTTTTTAAGAGAGCAAATGAAGCAACTACAATGGTTTAATTAGTCCCTAAAGATATAAAGATTTTTTTCTATTAATCAAAACAGTATGAAGATAATTGCGAGAGAATGGCAGAGCAGAAATTACTTTCATCAGGGCAGAGAACGGTATGAATCTAGCTGTTCTCTGTTCAAAACCCCTCAAGCCCAGCACTGTGTATATTAACCATGACTCCCCTCCTGGCAAATTTGGAGTGTCCACACAGTTTATAATTAGTATGGGAACCTGAACTTGTGTTCGAAAGGCTCTATTCTAACCATGCTGTGTTGCAAGCATAACATGGTAGTACCTAGGGCTGAATTATGACTTTCTTGGGTACTTTTGCCTTTGTGTACTCCTTCCTCCATAAAAAGATATTAAAAGTTACATTTTACAATTGCATTGGTGCAAAGATGAATATACTGGTATTATATATTAAAACATTTTCTTCACCCTAAAAGATCATTTTTTTCTTCTGATTTTAAAAAGAAAGTAATAGATTTCTGTGGGCCCCTAAAAGCAGTGTGAGTCCCAGGCACTTTGCCTACTATGCCTAATGGAGAAGTCAGCCCAGATGGTACCATTCCTTGATACTAATTTCCTCTTTTGAGAAAGAAGAGTTAAATTAAGAAGTATCCAATCCACACAGGGGCAGGAAAGACACAGTGAAGTTTAAGAGTTGATAATAGTGAATAAGAACAGAAAGTACCAGTTCCTACCTGCTTCAATCAGGCTTTTGGAGTTTTAAAACAGCCCCAAATAATTAATGATACCTGTGGAAATATTTGTCTACGAATGTGTCTTTAACAATTTCGGTAACCAGAGACTTCCTCCATAGATCTCTAGAACTGTTCAGAGTTCTTGGATCAGGTATGTGAGGTCTTGGTTGCCAGGACCTAACCTAAATACAACTAAAGACACAGCTGGGCAATTATAATTGGGTAAGTTCCTGGATGAAAGATCCATAAAGGTTTTGTGTGTGTTGAGGGGTATGTGTGTATAAGGTAGGCATTGATATCCTGGAAGGCAATTACTAGCCTATTTCTTTTGCTGCCCTCATCACAACCCTGGGTTAATGTTTGATTCTTGGTGGCAGTTGCGATTCATATTTGCTGCCCTTTGGGGTGTTTATGTTTTCAGGAAAGATTATATTGATTCAGATTTGTGCATAAGAAACAGGTATTATGGCCCCCATTCCCAAAGAAATTTGCAGTGGCACCCTTTTGCCTTTTCATCATGGCCGCCCTTGCAGAGGGAAGGAAAACAGAGAGGTCCATCCATAAAAGGCAGGTCTGGATTTGTGGGGGGTGGTGCTTTGGGGCAGAAACAGGACATTAATGTGGAAGAATTGTGTTCATACACTTAAAGGGGTGCCCAAGCAAATGGAAGGAAGAAAGAACATGCCCAAACAGCAGTAAAAGACAACAATGAAAAAATCTTCCAGGGGGGGTTAGGGGGATTTTTGAGATCTGTAAGCCTAATATTTGGTGATTTTAAATAAGGACCCAAGAAGTTTTCCATCCCAGATCTGATTCTTTCATCTATATCTTGCTTCTCTAACACATCATCTCCTCATAATCTAGTTTTCACATACTTGCCAGATGGGTGATTTATTCATTTATCCAATTAATATCTATTAAGCACCTACTGGATGCCCAGTCACTGAACCAAGGACTTGAGTTAGAGATATGGTTAATTTATGATTGCCGGCCCCAATTTGCTCACAGATGAATAAGTAAATAACACAAGATGGTACTATGTGGTACATGATGAGTTATAAAATGGGCTAGGTGAACACCTAAGAAGTGGGCCTATCCCTGCATTGGGAAGGAGTGGGGAATGACATGGGGCAGGGAAGTCAGAAAAGGTTGCACAGAGCTGGTGACAGTTGCTGAGCACTGAGAGATAAATAGAAGTTTTATAAAGTAAGGGAAAGGCCTTATAAGTGAAGGGAACAGCAGGCACCAAAGCTTGCACATAGAGCATGTTCTAGAGGCTGCAGATATTTTGTGAGTCTGGAGTAGAGGCTGAGGAACAGCAGAGGAGGAGGAAAAGAAAGCTAGGGGTCACTTGAGGTCCCCGGTCGGTCCTGTAAAGGAGCTATTTCTTGTAGTCAGTGGAAGCCATTGAAAGACTTTAAGCAAGGGTGTGACCAGGAGAGATTTGGATTGAGGAATGATCACTCTGTTGGTTGGTGTGGGGCTGCTGATTGGAGGGAGACCAGGCAGGAGAGGCTGTTGCAAGGATCAGGGTTTGAATGAAGGTAGTGCCAGCAGAGATAAAGAGTAGGAACTTGAGTCAAGTGGTACTCAGGATGTAGGATCAATAGGGCTTAATGATGGAGAAAACAGAAGTAAGGATGATTGACATCTGGTTTTCTGACCTGAGTGACAGGGTGGGTGGCAGTGTGGTCATGGAGATAGAGGTTCCCAGGAAGAGAAGCAGATTTGGGGCTGGAGATCCTGAGACGAGGATTCCAGTACATAAAGTTGATTTGGAAGGTGAAGGAAACACTGGTAGGGGAGCAGGGAAAGGAGACAAAGGGACGACAGCCATAGAAGATATGTTAACAAGGCCACTTACCACTGTGGGCAATTGGAGCTTAATCCCACAGGCAAACTCTCAGACATGATGCAAAACACCCACTCGAGAGGTGAGGAAGCTAGTTAATGGTGGTCCAGGGAGTGCTGATTTTCTGGCAATTCTGACCTGCCACCCAGCATAGGTAGAAGATCCTTCCCAAGTACAGACAGAAGATCCTGACAGCTGAATGTCTGCGGAGCACATTGAAATGGTAGCATCCAGACCATCAGTGTCTGCTGCAGGGGAGTTCTGTTTAGGACATCTCTAAATGGAGGTACCTGTTGAGTAGTCACATAGAGATGTCCAGCAGGCATTTGGAACAGCAGGTCTAGAGTTCAAAATCTAAGCTGAAGACTAAGATTTGGAATTGTTAGGCCCTGGGTGTTGGTTGAACCAGTAGGTGTTGATCAGCTCTGCAGAAAACATATCTGAATTGGGCTGGTAGCTGAGCCCCTTACCATGGGGAGCACCAGTGTGATTTGACCTGACCTGCATGAACATCGTGTGGGTTTCTCAAGGGGCTCCTGAAAGCCCTGAAGTTGTAAATGTCATCAGTTTAGTGCTCATGGGTGTGCATGTGTCTGGAGAAAATGGTCCATTGCTTTCAAGAGATTCTCGAGAGGTCTATATTTTACTGAAGTTGAATAATATACTTAAAATTGAAACTTTGTTTTACAGATGTCCTGGTGGTTGATAATATTTACTGGGTGATTGAGTGATGAGGTGGGCATCTGAAAACATAATCACAATGCAAAAGGATAAAGCTGCAGAAAACACAAGGTGTCATTGAAGCAGAGAGGACTGAAATTGAAGCCAGGCTTGGGGAAAGAGGATGGAAAGCATTCAGAGAAACAGTCCAGTGCCAATGACATTTTTACCTGGGGAATGTTCAGGGCTCACAGGGTAAGGGAAAGATTTTGACTATTTTGACAGAATGGAGATGTCCAATGAGGTCTGCATGGGGCTGGGAGAACGTCAGTATTTTTCATTTGAGGATTTCATGTGAACTGTCTTATGCCCTTTGGATAAAATTAGCAAAGACTGTATCAAAGGATATGTGAGTTGCTCCTTCAGTTAGGTAATCAATAAGCATACACTGAACAGCATTACTTTACAGTACGAAGATGCATGCTAGAGCAAAAATAATAATAAATACCACCCCTGCCCTGCATTGAAGTCTCTCATACTGCAGTTATAGCTCTGTCTAGTCTCACAATCAGTAGAGCATTTCATTTCATGGA